AATGCAGCCCTGGGGGAGGGCTGGCTGGGGAGCCCAGAGACTCAGGCTTATCTCTGTATAGTAAGCTAAAGATTAGAATCTTTGGGGAAAAGCTGGGGTGGGGTAGGGTGGGGTGGGGACTGCTTGCTGGGGGTGGGCATTTGAGCTGGAAAAGGCATGCAGGCTGGGGGAAAGGCATCTGCAGACTGGAGGCCTGGAAGGACAAGACTGTCCAACGAATTCACAGTCCTGCCTCATGCTGGGCTTGTTGGCCTCAGCAGCCTTTCTGCCTCTGTCACAGTCACCACCTCAGCAAGGCCTGCCTTGGTCACGCTAGTCACCTTTAGCCATATCCCCCATTTTGTTCACAACCCTTATCCTCTCCCAAGCAGCACGAGCAGAGCCGGGAGGCACTACGGTAAGGTGTTAGGGGCACTTGCTACAGGCACAAAATTTAAGGAATGCCAAAAAACTCAGCTACCAAAATTCATAGTATGTTCATGCAATATTTTAAAAGGTGAAACAGGTGCAAAAAACCCAGGAGAAACAAAATATCATGATATTATTAAAAAAAATTATTTTTAAAAATATATTTTATTGATTTTTCCACAGAGAAGGGAGAGGGACAGAGAGCCAGAAACATCGATGAGAGAGAAACATCGATCAGCTGCCCCCTGCACACTCCCCACTGGGTATGTGCCTGCAACCAAGGCACATGCCCTTGACCGGAATCGAACCCGGGACCCTTGAGTCCGCAGGCCGACGCTCTATCCACTGAGCCAAACCGGCCAGGGCTTAAAAAATTTTTATTTGTTAATCCTCACCTGAGGATTTTTTAGGAGAGAGACACATTGATTGGTTGCCTCCCGCACGCACCCAACTGGGGCCAGAATTGAACTTGCAACCCAGGTACGTGCCCGTGACCGGGAATAGAACCCGCGTCTTTTCGGTGCACGGGCCGACGCTCTAATCATTGGCCCACCCTGGCCAGGGTGAAAATATCATGATTTTAAATAAAGGCAGGATCCGACCCTGCACTTGCACCTTGCCTCACTCTTCTCACCTTAGTCCTTACCTTGGAATGAGTAAAAGAACGTGTGAGTTCTGAGGAGGCTCGGCTCCTGAAAACTAATCCTGAAACCTGCAACCCGGGTCTCGCCCGCCCCGTGTCGGTTCCGCCCACCACAGCCCCGCCCCCAGTCAAGGCCTACCCGTCAAGCACAACTCGGCCCCGCCCACCCTGCGCTTAGCTCCGCCCCCAAGTCCGGTTGCGCCGGCGCCCGGTGCCCAGGCCCAGGCGCCAGGTCCAGGCTCCGGCCCCTCGGGCCTCCGGGCTGGCCTGCGCGTCACTTCCGGGGAGGCAGCGGGAGCGAGGCCGACTTCCGCCGCGGGGGAGCGGCGGCGGCGGCGGCGGCGGTGCAGGAGTAGGAGGCCGAGCCGCGGCGCCGAGGGACCGACGGGCGCGCAGGCGGGCGGCCAGGAGCCATGGAGTGTGGCCCCGGGACTGGGGTGCGCGGGCCGCGGCGGTGAGTGCCTACCAGGGGCGGGCATGGCGGCGTCGGGCGGCCTCGGTGCCGCCCTGGCCGTTTGCGGAGCCGGGCCCGGCCGCGAGGCTGGGGCAGCCTGGTCGGACTCCCCCGAAACCCCGCACTCCCGGGGTAGCCGCGGTGTTCCCGAAGGGACCCCACGCCGGGGGCGAGGACCGCGGGTTCCCAGGTTGGCAGAGCCCTGTCCCCCCTCTACTCGGCCTTCCGACGTGGGGTGGACGCCCCCCCTCCTATGACGCGGTCCCCGCTTCCCCCCCCCTCCACGCTGCCCTCCGGCGTGGAGGTGAACGTCCCCCCAAACCCCCCGGGAGGCGGCCTCCGCCTTCCGGGAGTGAGCGGCCCGAGCCGCGGACTCTGCCCCTGCCCCGGAACCGGCCCTCCAGCCCAACACCCGGGGCTGCGGGCCCGTCGCCAAGCCCTGCTTCCTAAACGTCTCCCAGACGCCTCTGCCCCTTCGCAGGCTTCCTGGCCTCCGCTCCATTTCAAGGAACATCCACAGTCTCTAACCCCGGTCCCGGATTCCTCCGGGGCTCCCTGTTCCCCGCAGAATGAAGTCCAGTATCTGCAGCCGAGCTCACGGGCGCGGCCTGGCCCTGGCCTTCTCCGGGGCCCCTCTGCTCGCCTCTTCGTCCCAGTGCCTCCCCTAGCCCGGACCCGCGGTTCTTGGAAGGCGCCGCCACCACTGGGGTTTGCCCATGCTCTTCCCTCTGCTCGGTCCCCTGTCCCCTGGCCGCTGTCTCCACCGATCAGACTGCACCTTCCAGGCAGCTTTCCTACCCTGACTGGCTGGGTGAGCTGCGGTCGCCGCCGTTAGTATTTAGGTCGTCCTAGGACCTAGAGTATTGCAATTGCCTTGGTTCCTCCTTGGTCCTCTTAACACCTCCAGCCTGCATGGCACCTGGCAGCATCTGCTTGTGAGTGGAATCCCCGGAGCTTTGGGTGCCAGGGGTGTGTGCCCAGTGATGGAGGCACCTGAAGGTGCACTCTGCCCAGTCTGAGGCCTGGCTCTTGGGCCACTACTCAGTGATACTCACAAATGATGTGCAGGAGGTCCCAGCTGTCCCTGCTCCCTGTCAAATCTGGCAGACTCTGTAGCTTTCCCATTTCCTCTTTTCCCCTTGTCATTTGCCCACTCGTTCAGCCATTGTTTATTGAGCAAACACGGATGGTGGTCCTGCCCTCATGAAGATTTTCTTTGGTTGGAACTGGGAACCATGAGAGCATGGTGGACGTGGGGTGGGGGTACCTGACCAGGTTGAGGCCTCTTTGAGGGCACTGAAGTGAGATCTGAATGGTGGGAAGGACAAGAGCAAGGACCATCAAATGAGATTGGGGAGGGGGTCCCCAGGAGGGAAGCTGCCTGGGCTCTGGCTCTGAGGCATGAGTGGGCAGTGTGGCTTGTCTAAGGAGAGTGAGGGACACCAGATGAGTGAGGCTGGAGAGACCTCTCAGCTGCCAACCTGGCAGGCTGTGATGAGGGATTTTATCTCTACTCTGAAAATTGGGAGGTGGTGTGGTCAGATTTGTGTTGTGAAAGGTCTTTCAGCTGCTGGGGGGTGGGGAGAATGGCCTGGAGTGCTGTGGTGGTAGCCAAGGGGGGACCAGCAAGGAAGGAGACTGCTGAAGTCCAGGTGATGACAGCAGAGGGGACCAGTGGCCGTTAAAGAGAGAAAGAGCCAACAGGGAGGAGTCAAGGACCACATCCAGGTTCCTGGTTTGGTCAGTGTGGCTTGGCCACCTTGGTGTACTTTATCCTCAGGGTTGTGGGGGACCTCCTACCTGCCCCCTGGCTCTCAACCAGGTCTTCCTCTCAAAACCAGCTTTCATGCCCAGCCGGTGTGGCTCAGTGGCTGAGTGTCGACCCATGTATGAGGAGGTCACTGGTTCAATTTCCGTTTAGGGCATAGGCCTGGGTTGCTGCTTGATCCCCAGAAGAGGGTGTGCAGAAGGCAGCTGATCAGTGTTTCTCTCCAATCAATATTTCTACCTCTCCCTCTCTTGGAAATCAATAAAAACATGTTGTTGTTGTTTAAAAAACAGCTTTCACAGAGCCACCTGAACTTCAGACCTTTCATTCCCTGCTTGCAGCAGTGGACCATCACCTGTTGGGGCCTGGACCTCTTTGAGAATATGTTGGTTGAAATTTGGGGACACATAATTCTTTCTTGGGGGGTACACTGTGGGGTGTTAAGCAGCATCCCTGGCCTCCACCCTCTTAATGCCAGGAGCTCCCTTCCCTAATCCTCATAACCAAAAGTGTCTCCAGACATTGGCAAGTGTTCCCATCTGAAACCAGTATGATAGACCCTCTCCTCTGAAAAATACTTGCACATAAGGTGTGCATCCTGCCTGGAAGTTTAGGGACTCCTGGAAGCTGTCCCGGCCCTCACCTTGGATTTTGCATTTCTCCCACTCCCCACTGTGCCCCAAATCTCGGTGAGAGCAGGATGTGGCTCTCTCCAGCCCTTAGTCGCAGGTCACAGATCTGGAGGGATTAGGTGTGTTCTGGACCTCAGACTTCTCTGACCTACTCTGAATTCGAGTGTCCCTGGCCCCAATGGTTTTCAAATGCTGTGGCCTCAAAACTGAACGTGCCAAGGTCCTCTGATGCTAAAGCTGAGTAGTGTGTGTCTCCCTCCCTCGGTCTAGTCTGTAGGGAAAGTGTAATAAGTGGTCAGGTTTTCGCAAACCTGTTTTTTTCCCTAGTCGCTCCTTTCACAGCTCTCTGTATATGATTGTAGTAGCTTTAGCAGTTTAGCTGTAGTCTATTTAGTTTCACCACGCTCTGTCAAAAGGAAGAACATTTGAGCTTCTACTCTGAGCCAGGCCCCCTGCCCGCCACTATCATTTACTATTCCTGTGGTGTGAGTGCTGTCTTAGTTGATGGATAAGGAAACAGGCTCTGGGAGGGTAAGTGACTTGCCCAAGGTCCCAGACCCTGAAGTTGGCAGAGCTGGAGAAGGAGCCTCAGCTCCCATGACTCCCCACCCCCTCTACGGCCCCCAGCACAGGGGAGAGCCATTGTTCAGCTCTTAGCCTGAGATGTATCCTGCTTTTGTTCTCAGAGCCTTTGTTATGTTTCCTCTGCCTGGGCTCCTCTGTCTCATGTCCTCAGGCGGGCCCAACCCCTATCAGCCCCCCTATCAGGGAGCTTTTAGGTCCCTGTCTGAAGTCTGTCCTTGCCTCAGCTGCTCTGTGTGTGTGTGTGTTGGGGAGTGGGGTGGGGGGGAGTGTCTGGGCCAGCCCTGTGGACAGAAGCATGGGGGGGTGGGTGACAGGGTTTCCCTGGGCCCAGAGCAGGAGGAGGAGAGCTGGAGTGGGCCAGGGGGTTTGCTTGCCCAGCACAGCCATCAGGTTGTGGCTGGGCTGACGAATGGGCTTACATGGCAAGAGTCGGTGACTGCAAGCTGAGGAAGGGTGGTAGCAGGCGGGGACAAGTCAGTTTTGGATCGCACAGAGGCCACTTGGGAGGTGCATGGTCCCCCGAGAGGGGTAAGCTGGGCTTGCAGGTCTGTGGGGCAGAGGGTGGAGCAGTCTGATCAGGAGAGAGTGGACTGGGCTTTGGGGAAGGCCAAGAGGCTCAGGCCATGTGAGATGAGGTCCCTGACTGGTTGTGCCCTGGGGAAACTCACATGTTGCTGTTCTTTGCAGGGCTTCCCTGTGCAGGACATGGAGACGTGAGGCTGCAAGGCTCCCGAGGGCTCGGCTTGGACCGAGATGGGGCTGGGTTGCTGCCTCCTAACAGGGCTCTTGTCTGGGGCAGTGGCTGGGGGTTGCCCTCCCCCCTCCCACCCGCATCTCGGAGCAACCCTTCCCCTCTGCTGCTGAGCGAGGCCTGTCCTGGGGCCCGGTGCCCGCCATGAACGGCCTGTCGGTGACTGAGCTCTGCTGCCTCTTCTGTTGCCCGCCCTGCCCTGGCCGCATTGCCGCCAAGCTCGCCTTCCTGCCGCCGGAGCCCACCTACTCCCTGGTGCCTGAGCCTGAGCCCAGGCCTGGTGGGGCTGGGACCACGGCCTTGGGGACCCTGCGGGCCTCCACGGGCACCCCCAGACGTTGGAAGCTCCACCTGATGGAGCGCTCTGATTTCCAGTACAGCCAGCGTGAGCTGGACACTATTGAGGTCTTCCTGACCAAGAGCAGCCGAGGCAACCGCGTTGCCTGCATGTATGTGCGCTGTGTGCCCGGAGCCAGGTGAGCCTTTAGGACTGGACCAGACAGACCCAGAGCCAGGAAGGGTGGAGGGCGGGATCTGGGGAGGGCCCCATGCTCATCCTCATGGTCCCTGGAATGCCACAGTGGAATTACAGACCACCGGGGGTTGTGGGTGCCTGGGGGTACTTCTTGCCAAGGTCTGGCCGACCAGAGCTACCAAGGGTGTGCCTCACTCTGCTCACAGCCGCTGCCCAGCTCCCTTAAGCTCTCAGTGCCAGGTGCCCTTCCATTTGCAGCTCCTCTCATTACCCCATCTTGCAGATGAGGACCCTGAGGCTGAGGGAAGTGGCTTCAAGTGGCTGTGCCACACCACCACTCTACAAGGAGCATGGTCTCAGGCGCTCGGTGCCCAGTGAAGTCTTGGTACCTGAGGCTGCTGGTGGCTCAGGCTCAGTCTGCCTTCCCATTAACAGGGCACCTCAGGACCTGCAAGCAGAGCGCTTTCTTGAGCCTGGGGGTGGGGCAGAGGCAGGTTTTCCGGGTGCTTCTGCCTCACACCAGGCAGGTTTTGACTTTAGGTCTAAGTTCAGAGGGAGACTTCCTTCTTTTCCTCTGGGCCAGGCAGGGCTGGCGGGAGTGGGAGCTGGGACCCAGTAGTGCTGGAGGAAGAGGACCTTGAGAGTCTGTTGGCGTGGAGTCACCTGGTTGCCTTCTCTTGGCAGGACCTGGGCAGGCCCTGTTAGCAGCAGCTTGGCAGGCCTGTCATGGGACACAAGAGCTGAAATGAGTGCCATGGTCATTTTCTGCAGGAGAAGGAGACCCAAACCTCTGTGATCAGGGGTTGGCTTGATTCACTTGTGGGGCAGGGGACGGGCCAACTGTCAGGAAGAGAGGGGGCAGCCCTGTCAATGAAGTCTCTGAGCAGCAGGCCCACATGCCTGCTATCCTCGGGCTGTTGGAGTCCCTCCAAAAGGAATGGACTCGAGGAGAGGCGGCTGGGCCCATCCTGTGCTCAGAACGTGACAGAGATCACACAGGCAGGAGGAGCTAGGCTATTTTGTGGCACAGGCCGCCTATCTCCCCCCCGCCCAGCGCTCCTGTCCCTTCCTGGTTGAGGTGTGAGTAAGACCCCTCTTTCTCTTGCCCTCTGACCCTGTCTTCTCCCACCCCGCTAGGTACACAGTCCTCTTCTCACATGGCAATGCAGTGGACCTGGGCCAGATGAGCAGCTTCTACATTGGCCTGGGCACACGCATCAACTGTAATATCTTCTCCTATGACTACTCGGGCTATGGCGTTAGCTCGGGCAGGCCCTCTGAGAAGAACCTCTATGCCGACATCGATGCTGCCTGGCAGGCCTTGCGCACCCGGTGAGCTGTGTGCCGGGAACTTGGTCAACCTAAAGTGTCCCCTTGGAGGGGACCAGAAGCTCTGAAACAGGGAGGTTGGGAGGTGCCCACTAGAAACTTAGGCCTACCTCCCTGGGGAGGAAGGAAGCCTGGGCCAAGTTTTTGTGGGTGGCCTTGCTGGAGAGGGGAACTGTCAGTGGCCACAGTGGTCCAGAAGATGAGTCCTGGCCTGTGTCCCTTCAGCATGGTAACAGATATGCTTGGTGTGCAGGCAGGCATGTTGGCAGTCTTCAAAACTCCCTGGGCAGGGGCAGGGATGGGCTGGGGCTGTCTGCAGTGGAGTGGAGGTTCCCTCAGAAAGAAATGTTAGGCAGAGGACCTTGGGCCCAGTGGTAGCATGTGAGGGCTGTGCGAATGAATTGTGGGAGTCCCAAGCCAAGGGAGCACATGGGGTTCAGGGCTGGGCTGGGCTACTGCATTGGGATTCTGGGGGCAGGCCTATGAGGTACTTGTAGCCATGGAACTTGGCCTCATCCTGGGGCAGTGAGTAGGGGTGGGGCTCCTCTAGGCTTAGAGGGTTCTGTTGGGCGGCTTGGTGCCTAGCACAGCTCTGATGGCTGGTGGGAGGTCAGTGAGCGGAGGACATACCCACATGCTTGTCTCAGGGCCATTCCCTCTCTGGACCTCCACCATCCTGGTCATCCAGATCCTGGGCAGACTCCTCCCATCCTAATACTCATTGAAGCACATTTATCGGTCTCTGAGCCAGCGTTTGCAGCGTGCGGCCCTGTGCCCAGCACTGCTCCGGAAGGAGGTTAACCCTGGCCTTCCTGGAGGTGGAGCCCTATCCACTGTCTGCTGGGGGATACCCTACTTCAGCCCTGCCTGGCTGACCTGCCGGACCCTCTCCTTCGAGGCCCAAAGTCAGTCTGCCCTGGGGAGATGGGGCTCATAGTGATGGACCAGGCAGGCCCTGGGAGCAGGGTCCCCTGGCACCAGGGACCTGTCTTAGGTGGTGTGGTACAGGTACATGCTTGCCCTCAACTGCCTCAACCCTTCCTTCTGTCCTTGCTTGCGCTGGGGGTTGCTGGCAGAATCAGACCCCGCTGTGGGGTGAGGGCTAGGAGCTCTGTTCATCGTCCATCTATCCTCTCACCAGCATTGACTTCCAGAGACTTGGTCCCTAAGCTCCAACAGCTTAGAGGCAGCAGGAGGCTTGTGCCCAAGCTGTGCCTGGGGCTGGGGAGGCCTAAGGGAGAAGAGCCACTCCATTTGTCACCTGTTGAGTTTATTCAGGTGGAGACGGCCAGGGGCTGTTGGGGTCTCTGCTTGGTGCTGGGTGATAGGGCTGTGCTGGTGCTCAGCAAAGTGGTGGCCATGGCAACCTGGGAGCAGACTGGAGAGGAGTGACCAGGTAGCATCCTTGAGGCCTGGGGGTAGGCTGGGGTTAACCTGTAGTGTTACCAGGATAGAGACAGGTGGGGATAACGCTGTAGACAGGGAGGTGGAATCTGGCTTTTCAGGTGTGTTCCTCAAGTGAGATGCAGAACTGTCCTGGCCCCTGTCCACCAGGAAGAGGGATGTCCCTTTGGGTTTGGGGTCTGATGTGTTGGAGGATAACCTTGGAGGCCACCTGCATGGGGAGGGTGGCAAGTGGGTCCCCATGTGGCTGGGAATGGCTTGGAGCTGGATCAGCTGTGCTGGGGGACCCTCGGGAGGCATGTGGGAGGTGACAGGGCTGGGGTTGGGGCTTGAAGGTGGGAGTTGGTGCTGAGGAGGGTGGCCCAGGACTTGGCCACTATATAGAGAAGGTGCCAGAAGGAGTTAGCACCCACCCACCTCCCCACAGCAGTGGATATTCTGCTCACCAGTGTTGTACTGAGCACCTAATTGGGCATGGAGGATACCAAGGGGTGACACATGGGGACAGCTGCCTCAGTTCCCCACAGCAAAGGGGGTGGGGAAGGGGTGCAGGCAGGAAGACAGTCCCCCTTCCTCAAAGAACTATCTAATCCAGAATAGCAGGGACAGGAAAACTCTAAGCGGAATCTGGATGTGGCCCTGGTCAAGTGTGTTTAGGGTTGGGGGTTGACAGAGTGACCTGGAGAAGTAGGAGCCCCAGAGCTACCCTGCTCCCAGCAGCCTTTGTGGGGCCCTCACCAGGTGCGCTCCTTGCCCATGTGGAAGTAGATCCTGTTGGAGAAACTGAGGGTAGATCCAGGTGACCTGGGACTGTGGCCTGTTGGGGAGGAGTGGGAGCAGCTGTCTTCACACCTGCAGGGGCACTGCCTCCCTACTAAGTGCACCGCCTCTCTTGGGGGCCAGGGTAGGGTCCCTGGGACCAGCCTAGTTGCCTAGAACTGTCCTAGAAGAAGGGGGGACAGACCGCCCAAGGAGGGAGGGCTGTGGGAGGGGAGTGTTGCAGTTGCAGCTGACCCTGTCCCACTGCCAGGTACGGCATCAGCCCAGATAGCATCGTCCTGTATGGTCAGAGCATCGGCACAGTGCCCACCGTGGACCTGGCCTCCCGCTACGAGTGCGCCGCGGTGGTGCTGCACTCCCCGCTCACCTCGGGCATGCGTGTTGCCTTCCCAGACACCAGGAAGACCTACTGCTTTGATGCTTTCCCCAAGTGAGCATTGGGTTGCCCTGGGAACCCGGGCGGGGGCAGGGCCTTGGTGGGGCGGGCCTTGGTGGGGGCGGGGCTTGGAGGCCGTGACACGCCCCACCCTGCAGCATCGAGAAGGTGTCCAAGATCACATCGCCGGTGCTTATCATCCATGGCACGGAGGACGAGGTGATCGACTTCTCGCACGGGCTGGCGCTCTATGAGCGCTGCCCCAAGGCCGTGGAGCCACTGTGGGTGGAGGGCGCCGGGCACAACGACATTGAGCTCTACAGCCAGTACCTGGAGCGCCTGCGCCGCTTCATCTCCCAGGAGCTGCCCAGCCAGCGCGCCTAGCGGAGCTGCTGCGCCCGGAGCCAAGCCAGGAACAGACCTCAGCAATAAGGCGGCACCCCGGCCCCAGGGGCTGCATGTGTACCCCTCGTGAGCCCCAGTCCCCCCAGGCAGCTGGCCGGCAATGAGGTCCAAACTGCCTGCCCCTGCGTAGGGGCTGTGGACGATGTGCAAGGGGCAGAGCCACGCTCTCCTTTTCTTTTGGAAGCAAAACAAAGGAAAAAGGTGAAAAATTAAAGATTAAAAATTTTAACGTTTCTTCCCTTACTTTCATGGCTCATGTGTGCTCTCCCCAGCGCTCAGCGAGTTCTCAGAAGGTGCTAGGCTTGCCCCCAACCCCCCAGGAAAGTTCACAAATGCAGATGCCACCATCACTCCCCACGGAAGAAGGGGTAGGGTTTAGGTCCCAACCGAGCACCCCCTTGAGTTGCTGTTGTCTGGGTGGTGATATTACCTGGGAGGGTGGTGGGCGCCCTGTCTTTTTAAAACCCTTGAGGGGTAGGGTGAGTCTGTGCTGGGCCTGCTCTGGGGCCCCAGTGAGGCACCCTTCCGCCCCCATAATGGGTAAGGACACTGCACAATCGCTCCCTTGGTAGATAAGGATACTGCAATCACAAGGCTCCTCTTCCTGTCCTGGGGGCGGGCTGCACAGTGCCAAGACAGCTCACCAAGGTTCTGGGGGCCAGGCCAGGTCACTTCCTTTGTAAATGAGGCTGAAGCCCCGGGGACAGAGACAGTGGCAGGTCTGAGGGCCTTATGGGGTCTTCCCAAGGAAAGCGGCCACTCCGGGGCTGGGTTTCCGCTACACTCCTTGGGGGCTTTGAGCTGTGTTGGCCTGGGGTGCCCTTGAGATCCCGGGTCTCTCTGTACCCCAGCCGGAGGCCAGGCTCACCACCAGGCCTAGAGTGCCTCCTGCGACCTCCAAGGACAAGGCCCTAGAGCCGGGGGAGCCTCGGAGACGAGTGACCTATCGTCCACCCCAGGGTGGCGGAGGCTTAGCTTGTGCTGCAAAATCCAGGGTGGCGGCCACCGCCCAGATCTGCTTGTTTGCACCTGGCCCTAGTCCGAATCCTGTGGCGCTGCGCGGCCCTTTAAGAGGGGGCGGTGCTTCAGCCTGGGGGTGGGGACGACGCTGAGGGGGCGCGGCCGTCGGGAGCTGCGTCACCTGCGGGGTCCGGGCGGGAGCGGAAGTGGCGTAATGCTCGCCCGGAACCGGCGGCGGATGGTCGAGGAGGCCGCGGCCTCGCCGGTAAGTGGCGGAGGCTCGTACCCTGCCCGGCCGGTCCCTGCCCTTTCCGCCATTCCCGACGGTTCCCCTCCGTTCCCATGCGTCTCAGCCTCTCCACGTGCAGAACGGGCTGCCGCGGGGTCGGGCCGCACGCAGGCCCTCCGTGCCCAGGCGCCTCCGCTGGTCTCAGTGTGGACACTTGGTGGGGTCAGGTGGCGGCAGATCGCTCCCGTCAGGCCGGCCGGTTTGGCCTCGTAGTGCTTTGCTCCGCAGAACTTTTGGTTGCTTGTAATGGGGAAGGAGAGACTTGGGTGCTCAGAGAGCTTAGAATGGGCCGCCGGGGCCATAGAGAGTGTCACTGTCCGACCGAAGGTGACTCACCGGGTGTCACGTGGGAGACGCCTTTTCTACCAAACCTTTCCTCTGCCGTCCCTCCAGGCTGCTCCGGATCCTGGCCTCTGGGCAATCCAGCCTTTGCGTCTGGAGTCCTGGCCCACCCGTCCCTATCAGTGGAAAGTGCCCTGGCCTGGGAGTGGGTGGGGAAGCTGCTGGTGCCTTCGCCCCTCCCGAGCCCCATGGGCCCCTCCAGCTGGGAGTCTGGGGTCATTTTTGATAATACGGGACGTTTAGAAGCCAAACTACACATGAGATATGTATTCATTAGAGTAGAGAGCATCTATGGCTCTAGCTCTTGGTTGCTCTTACCCCAGGACATTTGCACAGACTGGGCTTTGAGTCTGACATACCCTCACTAAGCCCAAGGCCCCCAGCATAGTTAACTCTTCTTAACCAGTCTGACTTCCTCGCAGTCTCTTGCTTCAGTTTCTTCCCCAAATAACCCTCCTCCTGACTCAGCCCTGTACTCCCTCCCACTAACCCCCGGTGCTGCACTTGTCACAGAGTATGTTGTCTTTTCACCCTATCCGATATGAATATAAGTTTACTGAGAGACGGGGCCCCATAATACAGCAAGTTCAAAGCAACTGCTTACAACTGAACAAAAATGTTTTCAGATACACAGAGTAAAAAATGCAGAGCATGTAAGGGTCCCAGGGGAAAACTCCATGCCATTCCTACCCCTGACCTCCAAGGCCTGGTTCCCCGTCCCCTGAGGCAGAGATAAACCAGTTTCTTATGCATCAACAGACAAAGTCTATGCACATACATCTAATTCGTTTGTACAAAACATCACTCACCATGTGATCCCACTTGGAAAGTGCTTTTATGAACTCATTCGTTTTAATGGCTGTATCATATTTTATTAGTACTGTGTATTTATCCTATTTCCTGTTGGTTGAAATTTAGGTTATTTCCAGTCTTATAACAAGCAATGCTAGGTTGACTATACTTATAGCCAAGTAGGAATATTTCTGTCGGCTGAATTCCTTGGTGCAGAAGTGCTAGGTCAAAAGGCTCTGTGCAGATCTCTAACTGGGTACATAATCTCTTAACCAGTCATACCAAATTGTCCCCCTCCCAACAAAGGAAGGGGCTAGTGTCCCCCATTGCTTGATCTCGAAGAACTGGTAGGCATAAAATAGTTTCATTGTAGCTTTCCTTGTTTCCTAGGAAGTACAATGGATCTCAGTGCTTTTGTCAGATTTATTTTTTATGTTGATAATTTCTCCCATTTTGAAACTGGAAAGACCTATATTTATGATAAATGTGCTTATATTTAAAAGCTGTTTGTATTACATATTCTTTGCCCATTTTTCTATTGGGTTGTTGGTGTTACTCTTTTCTAGGCACTTTCAATATTAAAGCAATTAGCCCATTGTCTGTTAAAGTGTTTTTCCCATTCTGTCGTTGTCTTTGACTTGGATTGTGTCTTTTTGTTTGTCTTTCTTATTTATTTATTTATTTATTTATTTATGCCAGGCACTTAAAGTTATTTGTTATTATTAGTGTTTTTCATATGTGGCTTCTGCATTTTGTGTCACACTCAGAAACATTTTCTCTAGTCCAAGATAATATAACATTTGATATTTTCTTCTGGAAATGTAATGGTTTCTTTTTAAAATAATTTAAATTTTGGTCTAATTCTAGAAACTACTCTTCAGAAAGAGTGAGGTAGGAACACAAACTGCTTTTTCTAAATCATTTGCCCCAACTACCTGTCCTGGAAAAGCCGTCTTTCCCCACTGAAGTGCCATCTTTATGGTGTGCTGAGCCCCGGCCTGCGTGTGGGTAGTTCTAGGCTGTCATCCCAGTTAGCCTGAGCCCCTGTCTTGATCACGGAGGTCTGGAAGCCCATCTCCTCTGCAGGTTCTTTTTTCTTGTCAACCTTAGATGGGCTTATCCACTTCCCTCACCCTCAGTTTTTATTTTTGCAGGAAGTGGCATTGCTTAGATTTATAGATTTAGTTGAGAGAAAATTGTCATAATAAACAGGTGATCCCTTGCACGTAAATCATGCAAGACACACTCCATGATAGAAAGGATTCTGAAAATTTAAGTATGTGTCCTCCCCGCTACCCCCCACAGCACATGATGTTGACCTTGACGAGGCAATCTGCTGAGTCTGCTCTCTCCACACCAGATGCCTGTGAGAGGCTCACCCTGGGCCTTTCTCCAGACTCGGGGTTACCATGTAGTGGCAGTGATAAGGGGAAGCCTGTGGTACATTCCAGAATGCGCCCCCTTTCCTCTCATTTGCTATGGCCCATGGGCCTGGCTGCCCGGAAGAAGGGCCAACTTTTCTGTTCTCCATTTTGTAAGTTTTCCAGACATGTGCTCACACCTGGCAGTGGCGTTCTGTTGCTCAGTGGGACCCTGAGCGCAAACCCCCCTCTCCAGGAAGGCAGTGCATGACTGTGGGGCCCAGATCTGAGATGAGGCCTCTAGTGGGGGCCCCACGCACCCCAGTCTAAAGGCATGGGCAGCTCCCTCCCCGCTGGGGCAGTGCTTAGGGTTCATGGTTAGGGTGCAGGACCAGCTATTGGCTGTGGGATTCATCCGACCAGAATGCTGGCCCAGCATCAGAGTCCCTCTTCCTTACATTTCACAGCTGCTGCCATGTGCCAAGTTGATCTTTATGAAAATCCTGAGCTGCTGGGCTCACCATCCATACTGCTTCCACTTACAGGGGAGACAGCTCAGGCAAAGCTGCCCCCAGGGCCAAGCCCTGGGAACCTGCCTGGGTGGCACTAGCCTCGATTCCTGTGATGCTTATAGTTTTGGGCCACTTCATGCCTCTGCTGGACAGTGAGCTCTGAGCCATCAGACCCCAGTGCCTGGCACAGGCAGGGCACAGACCACAGTCGTGTGTGTGTGTTTGTAGCACGTGCAGGTGACACTCGGAGGGGGCTGGGCCTGGCAGAGGCCATTTTTTTGAAGCCCGACATGCCTAGCAGAGCTCCCCCTGACTCATGTTGGAGGAGGAGGGCATCCTGAAGATGGCTTTTCTCCTTCAGCAGATCAGGTAGGGACTAGAGGCCCATGGGCCTGTGAGAGGTGGCCCGGAGGCCAGGGCCATGGGTAGCCTTGAGAGCCAGACAGATGGAAACCAACGTTGTGCCTCTGTGAGCCTCTACTTTCAGGGGTCCTGGGCCAGCCCAAGGAGTGAGGATGAGCAAGAGCTCTGGGGAGGGAATCCCCGTGTGAAAGGAAGTAAGTGAACACCAGGTTAGAGCCAAATTCTGTCCCTCCAACTTCCTGGAGAGAGAATGGGGCCCCTGGGTCTGTCCCCAGTGGCTCTGCGCAGGGGCCAGTGCATTCTGTGGCATGCCAGTAGTAGGGCAGTCATATGCCCACCCTCTGGCTAGGCCTGGCTGGGGCTTGCTTCGTCCTGGCCACGTCCATTGTCCTACCCTGAGCTCTTGGCTGTGAGGGATCCCTGGACCGTGGTAAGTAGTCTCACACATGTTGGAAATAAACACGGATGCCTTCAGAGAGTGGGAAGCGTGCATTAATCTCTAAAATGCTCTATCACAAAAGGCTGACATGCTGCTGGAACATTGGCTTGACTGGGAGGGGTGGCAGATATATATAAACTCTGGTGACTCTGAAATCAGAATTGGATTAAGGAGA